TAAAATGGTAGATGGGAGCACAACTTCAAATTAGACTCTAGTACATACGATGAGAACATCAGGTGAAAAATACCACTTTCGGAGTGATCGTTTGATAATCTAATCATTATTTCTCAGGTTTCGAGAACTGATCACGACAGTCCATGTGAAATTACCCGAAGGGACAACCATGAAAAATTTTTTCTCATGCAATAATAATCATTCGTTCAATTTCTCATTATGTATACCAGGCTTTAAAAAAGCCAGGAGTTGATTTAGTACATTGGAGTCCACCTATTATTGAAATATCAATTTTAGGTCAATTAGCCATTTAAAATAACCTACAATACTTACATTCTACTCTAACATAGCTCTAGCATAGGATATGCTGTCTGCTTTTAAACTGTTAAAAATATATTTATTTATGCATACTCAGTTTTATATGTGTATGAATTGAATGCCACCAAATAAGTGGAAATAACTTTGACAATTTTTTGTATTCTCTTGAAGAAACCAGTTATTGACTGCATGTCTGAAGAAGGTCACAAGCTAGATCAAGTTAAGGGAGTTATTGAGTTCCATAATGTGAATTTCTATTATCCGTCCAGGCCAGAAGTAAAGGTACTGTAAGACAGATGAACATGAGGAGTCTTACGTGGTGGTGTCTAAAAATCTATCCTTTGAACTATAACACAATATGAAATATAAATCAAAGGAACAGAATTTCAGTTGTCATTAAGGAGTATGATGTATGTAAAACACAGGTTGATGTTTCAAAAAGTTGTAAATATGTAGCACTCTCTGTACCTTATGGAGTTGATTTACTAAAGGCAAATAGGCTTCTCACATTCCAATGGAAATTTTACTTTGCAAGGGAATATTCCCTTATTTTAGTGAATGAGGTGAAGCTTTGTTGACTTTTGTCATCTAATCATGAGCAAGCAAAAACACTTTTGTTTTTTGTTTTTTATATCCACGCAATTGGCTATTGTTTTCACTATAATTTTAACGACATTCACTAAACTAAGGGAAATTTCCCTTGCAAAGTGAATAGCCTGTTTTCCTTTAGTAAACTAAGCCCTATGCATTTAGAGGTAGAGTATCTGTTATGATATTTTTGGTGAGATACTTCGGCCCGTGCTTGTGGTATTCAGTTCAGTTTTTTATATCTATTCATATCAAATATTGAAGCAGTTTACAGGGAGAAAGGGTAACTTGGCCATATGAGGGTAGCTGCATATCCGGTAATTTTAGATTAATACCCCCTGAAGTGCATGAAAAGCCAAACATTTTGTTTTCATTTTATTGAGAGTAGGGTGCATTTAAAAATGCTGTCGGGTTTTTTTTGTGTGTCTGTGTTGACAGTAGGGAGAGATTTACTGTACACTTTCTGTATGTCCTGCTGACCAATGTCACCAGCTAAGAGAATCCAAAATTAGAGTTGTCTCCAAACCATAAAAAAAGGAAATCATTAAATGGGGACTCTTGTTCTGGTGACAAGATAAGATGTGACATGTTCTGAAAAAATTTCCTCTTACTTCCTGTTATGAAGAGGAAATTATCTTGCTGGAGGTTCTGTGACCCTTGACGCCACTGTTGTGTTTGCACATTCTAGTTGGAAACTGTCCATTCAAGCAGGTGATCTGAAGTCCCCAGAGGTTTTTTTATGTAGATAGATTCATTTCTGACCAAATATTGCATATCAAAGTACCAAACAGACTTTCTTTACATGTCTCCCCATCACCACCACCCTCTGCCACCGCCGCCCACCTCCCCCCCCCACCAACACCTGATCAATAGAAGTAACGATAATCAGAGCAAATACTGGACCAAAGTCCGAAAAGTCTAGTAGTGGATAAGGGCAAGCTCCATGCAGTAATGTAGCAGACTTTGTAATAAGGAGAGAAGAAGAAGCGCCTCCAAGTGCAGCAGAACACTTTAATATGTAGTAAAAAGTAGGAACACTCACATGGTAGTAGAGTAATAAAAGCATGTAGGGTATTGTGGTGTAGAAACACCATGATGAACGGTTGTCACTGGTGCCTGTATCGTCCACGTCTCAATGGTAGGAAGCGTGGTTCAGGAGGGAGACAGATGTGGAGCCGGCCGTCATGCATGTACTCCTCAAGATGGCAGCTGGAACGCATGCTGAACTGCAACGTCGGCATAGGCGTGATGATGTCAGTGACCAAGATGCAATTTTTTTATTAATTAATTTTTACGCATTTTTATTATTATTATTTTTTCAATTTTTTTAAATTTTATTTTATTATCCTTTAGTTCCTTATTATATATTTTTCTACTAATTTTGTAATATTTTTTATATCCCTTTCTTATAATAACATTATTTTTATTATTTTTTCAATATAATTTTTTCTATTATTTTTCAATTTTTCTGACAAGTATCCGCATACATATTCTATTTTATTCATTAATTTATTACATTATTTTTTAATCTTTATTTTTTAATTTTTTTCCCATCCTTTTTTCCCATATTATGTCTTTTCCATATTCATGCATTTATTTCCATACATCATGGGTTTATTATCATATCAGTGCATCATCCTCCCACCTATTTTGTATTTACTATTTTTGTTTACTAAATTTAATTTTTTCCATTTTCTATTATTATACTTATTTATATACTCATTCATATCCATTATGGCACCACAGGGAGGATTATGCATAGATTTATAATTATGTTTTGTATTATGTTCATATTATGCACATATTTACATTCATTTATTTATATTTCCGTATGTATGATTTTCTATGTGATCCAGAATTGATATCATTTACACCACTATATATGACCCTATAACAGCCCCAATTACATACTCTTTTTCTTTTTTCTTTTTCATTTTGTCTATATTTCACTTTTTATTTTTAAATTTTATTAAATTTTCTTATCTTTATTTTTACTTTAATTTTTATTTCTATTCATACTAATATTGTTAATTTTTATCTTTAGTTTTATTTTTATCTATTTTTTTTTTTTTTACTTTTTTTTTTTATTTCATTTTTATATATACTTTTCTACATTGCTTTTTATCTCATTATTTTCATCATTTTTAATTTTTTCTTCTTTTTATTCATTATTATTTTTATCCCCCTTTTTTTACATCATTTTAATGCTTCCCCCATTCCGTTATCATGGTAATGATTTTCGTTTTTTTTCCCCTATTATCGTTTTTTCCCCCTACTACTGTGTTTTCTTCCCACACTTATGCTTTTAATTGTAAGACCCACATGTTCCTCATTACTAACCCATATGTTTCCAATTATGCTAATTGTTATTTCCCGAATTGTTGATTGCCAATTAAGTCACATTAGCCATTATAAAAGGAACGGTCCTTCTGCCATTCCCCTGCTTGAGAAAGGAGCGTGCTTCCGCCACTAGAGGCCAGCCCATGCTTCGAAACGCGTTGCATTGCATTTTGGTCACTGACGTCATCACGCCTATGCCGGTTCAGCGTGTGTTTCAGCCGCCATCTTGAGAAGTACATGCATGCTGGCCGGCTCCACGTCTGTCTCCCTCCTGAACCACGCTCCCTACCATTGAGACGCGGATGATACAGGCACCAGTGACAGCTGTTCCTCATGGTGTTTCTACACCACAATACCCTACATGCTTTTATTACTCTACTACCATGTGAGTGTTTCCTACTTTTTACTACATTTAAAAGTGGTCTGCTGCCCTTGGAGGCACTTCTTCTTCTCTCCTTGCCAACACCTGATCAGCTGCTCCATCTCTGGGGAGATGAAAGCTGCCAGAGCGGAGACCCGCGGGGTCCCGGCCTCCTCCTGGTACACCAATCCATCCTCCGACTCCATCACCGACACCGACTGGCACTGCTACTCATCCCCCTGCCACCAACACCCAATCACCACCCGCTGCCAACACCCAATCACCCGCCTCTAGCACCTGATTACAAGCACTAATCTGCATAAGAAGCAGCTGGCCATCCCGCACCCTCCTTCAGCATGCAGCCTCCTTACCAGGTCCCCATCCACCCCTGAAAATTGCTACCCTAGGCAAATGCCTTGTTTGCCTTACGGTAAATATGCCACTGGTTCCATACATCCATGTGCAGGTAGTCACATTCATGGGTATTGGGATGCACCAGCTGACCCACCTTAACAACTGGCAGATCAGAAGAAGTTCAAATATAGGTAAATTGAACCCATTACTGAATTTTTAATGATCTTGAAATAGCTAAAAATGAAAAGCAAGCTGCATATGACTATATTGACCCAAGGCCATCAACACAGATCATTACAGGGAGTGTCGAGATTTGCATAGAAAGACTGATTTTTGACAAGCAGTTCTACTAAAGGTAGCCTCATCTGACACATCATCCTATGCTTAGTTTGAATTACATGGGTTTAGTCCACTCTACAAAACAATCAGGCCCCTAAATTTCCAAATGTATTGCTGAAGTTTTCACTATACCAAAAAAGGATAAAAAGCTAACATAACTTTCAAAGATCAATTCCTTGATAAAAATGTAAGCTGCCATATATTCACATTAAATTATAAGAAAGAGCATTCACTTACCAACACGTATTTGATGCATACAGTATATCATGTCCAATCACAATTTCTGTTACTGATAGTATCCAATGTCAAACCTAATCAATGGTCTTAATTGAAGGAAAATAATAAAACAATAAATAATGTTATTTATAGCAGTTTTAAAAGGACACACAGAAATAAGAGAACCTTTTCAGATTGATTTAGTCATTACTTAAAGTGGCCCTTCCTAGTAAACCCTGTTTGAGATCGATACACAGAATAATTCAAAGAGACAGCAATGGAAGAGTAGATAATTGGGTATATGTTATTACTATGGACACAGCGACAGAAATCAAATAGTGCTGATCCCATCAAAAAAGTATGATAAGTCAGGCTATAACAGAAGTGGTGCAGGAAATAATGTATTTGTTCCCTAAACCCACAGATATTGAGCCAACTGAATATTTGCATTAAGCCGGGAGAAACGACTGCTTTTGTTGGGCCGAGTGGGTCTGGGAAAAGTTCTGCGGTGCAGCTTATACAAAGATTTTATGATCCTACAGATGGGAAGGTAAACATACTGAGATTATCTATCCATCCATCTATCTATCTATCTATCTATCTATCTATCTATATCTATCTACCGTATCTATCTACCGGTATCTATCTATCTATCTATCTATCTATCTATCTATCTATCTATCTATCTATCTATCTATCTATCTACCGGTATCTATCTATCTATCTATCTATCTATCTATCTATCTATCTATCTATCTATCTCTCTATCTCTCTATCTATCTATCTCTATCTATCTATCTATCTATCTATCTATCTCTCTATCTATCTATCTATCTATCTATCTATCTCTCTTCTATCTATCTATCTATCTCTCTCTCTATCTATCTCTCTATCTATCTATCCTATTATCTATCTATCTATCTATCTATCTATCTATCTTATCTATCTATCTATCTATCTCTCTATCTCTCTATCTATCTCTCTATCTATCTATCTTCTATCTATCTATCTATCTATCTATCTATCTATCTATCTCTCTCTCTATCTCTCTATCTATCTCTCTATCTATCTCTCTATCTATCTCTCTATCTATCTATCTCTCTATCTATCTAATATATCTATCTATATTTCTAATATATCTATCTATCTTTCTAATATATCTATCTATATTTCCTACTATATAGCAAAAAGTTTGTGCCTGACCATCACATAGTTAGAAGCTTATTGGATATCCCATTCCAAAAAGCCATGGGTGTGGAGTTGGTTCTTTGCAAGGCTTGACAGCCTCCACTTTTCAACAAAGTGTATCTGTGGGCATTTGTGTCCATTCCAAGAAAAAAGTGTGAGTACCTAACCTGTGAGGTCAGAAACTAATTTTGGGCAGGAAGAACTAACTCCCAATTGCATTTAAGTCCTCTTTAATGAAGATGAAGTTGAATGAACAAAAGCAATGTTACTTAGGTGGTTGAATTAATTTAGGACTTATTAGGATATCCCATTCCAAAACCATGTAGGTACTTAGGTTCTTCCACTACAAACCATATCTTTCCACTGCAGTTGTGAACTCTCCCTGTGGTGGGATGGGTATGCCAGTGTATGAAGAGATTTTAAGCTACAATTCTTATCTTCAGTACTTAAAAATATTGGGGTTAATTTACTAAAATTGGAGAGTGCACAATCTGGTGCAGCTGTGCATGGTAGCCAATCAGCTTCTAACCTCAGATTGTTCAATTAAGCTTTGACAATCAAAGCTGGAAGCTGATTGGTTTCTATGCACCTTATTTTGCACTCTCCAGTTTTAGTAAATCAACCCCAAATGGCTTCAAGGTGGTGGGTTTTTAAAATGATGTGCCATTTGAAAATGTCATATGTTCCAAAGTGCTTGGTTCCAGAAACTTAAAGTAGCAGTAAAAGGAGCATTGTCTGCATGCTTTGTACATATGGCACAAAACAAAAATGAATTTTCTATTCTAAAGGGCAATTGAGTAAGTAATATACATGTCTGATCACACAGAGAAACTGCATGGTTTATGATTGTAGATATTCTGCCTTAGCTTTTTACATTGTATTTAAAGTATACGATTTCTCCTTTTCAACTATAACATTAAAAAAACAATATTAACGAAATAAAACAAAATATTATTTTTTTAAAGTTGCTGGTGCTGGCTGTCATTGTTGAAAACCCTCTGACCCCCCCCCCCCACAGCCCGCCCTCATATACCCTGCTACAGGGGTTAACAGAGCTGAGGGATCTGTCATATTTAAGCAAGATCAGTCAAGAGTGCTGACTATGCCCACAGATTCCACCCACTTCCTCCATTAATAGAAGCTGTACTATCACTTCTATGAATGAGAAGCGATTTATGAATGGGGGACGGGTGGATTGATGAAAGATCTGCCTCCTCTATTCATAGATAACTTTTCATGCATGGAAGCTATAGTACAGTTTCTATGAATTGAGGAGGGGACGGAAAGGGTGGGCGTAGTTGGCTCAGCAGCTCTATTAACCCTGACAGTACCAGAAGATTACAGCTGCGGGGTATGGAGAGAGGGGAGGGCAGAGGACAGATTTCAACTATGACAGCTGTCACCAGCACAAGGGACAATGCAGATTAAATATAACTACAGTCCCTTGTGCTATTTTTTTTATTTTTTAATTAAGTTTTACCTAAATTTAGGCCTTTAAACTATGGAAGCATTGGAAGCATGGAACTTGGCACGAACATGCAAAGCTGCACAACTTTTAGAAAAAAGCAAGATATCTTTTATCTACTCACACATCTCTACTTTTCTGTTTTGAAGCAGAGAATGTTCCTGCTATTTTTTTTTTTTTTTTTTTTAGTTTTTAATTGTTTATTTAATGCATATCTAAATCATGTTTCTCTTTTCATGATTGTTTAAGTATAGTTACAATGTTTTCAGCTTATATGTGATACTAAAACTAGTTACATTTTTTCTTTTGCTTATATAATATGCGTCTTGTTATTATTTTTCTCTTTCTACAGTTTTTGAAATATTGTATGCTATACATTATCTTATAACAACAAAAAAGAATTTCCAAAATAAATCACATTATTAAATGTTGTATACATGAATTATTGAAGTTTTGTTTGCTACCACAACTTTCCAGGTGACATTAGACGGCCATGATATTCGTACACTTAACATTCCGTGGTTGCGCTCCTTAATTGGGATTGTTGAGCAGGAACCTGTTTTGTTTGCCACCACAATAGCTGAAAACATTAAATATGGACGAGAAGGAGTCACTATGGATGACATTATAAAAGCAGCAAAAGAAGCAAATGCCTACAACTTCATCATGGATTTACCACAGGTAAAATGAGGCAAAGAAGCTTTTGACCAAATGCCAGAGTAATGTTTTAGATTGCAAATTAAATAAGCACTCTAATCTGATTCCAAAAGCGGATCATGTCCTTTGGCTATTTTAAGAAGACAATCAAATGATCAAATGTACACTTTGCAAGTTACAGCTGATACATGTGCAAGACGCACGTTACAAAACAATTTATGGCCATAAAATATAAAAATAAATACATGAATCACAGACATGGTTTTAACATAGGTTCTAGTGTTACAAGTTATCAGTTCAAATAAAATGTATTTTCATTATATTTCCTTTTAGAAATTTGATACCCTTGTTGGAGAAGGTGGTGGACAGATGAGTGGAGGACAGAAACAGAGAATTGCCATTGCTCGAGCTCTGGTTAGAAATCCAAAAATCCTTCTTCTTGACATGGCCACATCTGCTCTAGATAATGAGAGTGAGGCTGTTGTCCAAGAAGCTCTTGATAAGGTCAGTTGTTCAGATTGTGACAATTAATATCAATTATGGGTCTTAATGTACCAAATGCATTTCTAACACTTTTAAATTGCAGAGAAAGTTCTTTTTAGATATTTAAAGCCACATACATATCTCTGATATGAGATAGCTGGTATAACAAATACAACTAATTGCCTGAGCTTGAGCCACTCTTTTTGTCAGTATTTCCCTTCAGTCTTTCAAAATGAAAGATCTCCTTTGGCCAAATCTAGAAGTGTAGGGGTAGATAATGGTAGCCAAGAGTATTTGAGCTTTATAATGGATACTGGTGGCTTTTAGGGGCAAAGGTCATTCTTCCAGATATGGATTCTTAAGAATGGCTGATGTGATTGTATAATGACCACACCTGGCTGTAAGCATGGTCAGCCTTAAATTTACTCCTATGTCACCAAAAAAGTCTGACTTGGCCAAAATTATGCATAACCAAGTTGGTCTGCCCACCCTGAAGCCCAGGTCAGTCATGATATTCCAATCTTTGTAGGCTGGGAACCGTATATTTTTGTCCTTAGTACAAACTCATTGGTGAGCATATCCACTATATAGCACCATCTTTCATTTGTTTATTTTATCAATATTTTTAAAGCCTAATGAGTGATCTTTATACACAGTATTAACATATCACCCATGGTACATTAATGGAGCCCAAGAGCAAATGACTGAAAAAGAATAGCTCTCAGACGCAGGTCTTCTTGTGTTCTGGAGTATGTTGTATGTTTCCAAAACTGTTGATTTATTTTCACACATGACATTTTTGACATCACAGTGTTGATCTCATTACTGTAAGGGTAGCAGTGTATGTGTCTGCGAATATATACATTTACCATGATGTTCAGTAACATTTTGTGTAGCCCATGGGTTAAATGTAGATGTATAACCCAAGCTTTTCTTTTCATTTCTTGAAAGAGTAAAATAGTTAAAAACCCTGCTGTTTTTTTTGTTGGGGAGATTTCCTTTACTATCTGTCCTGGATATGCAACAGGAAGTTGAAAATCTCTCCATAGCAATGGGAATTCCCTTCAAAGACAGTTGTCACCAAAACATGTGACTGGAAGATTCTTCCTTGCCTCTAGTTCTGGTGACAACTGCACAATTTTGGCTTTTCCATCATTATCACTTGCTAATTGCCTACTGTGACGGAAGCGTAGGCAGGACAGAATGCACACGGAGGATAATAAACACACAAAGCTTTATTGAAATATGGGAGGCACTGAATCAGGGTAGGAATGTAGCATCTGGGTACCCAAAAGGGGGGAGAGGGGGGGTAGTCCAAACAGTTATAATCCGGCCCATGATAGGGCGATTCAGGTAGCGATGGCCCGAGCACTCGGGGGGGGGGGGGGGGCGTCCAGGTAGCTATGATAATCCAGACACGCAATAGGCAGTCCGAGCAAGTATTAATCCAAGTGGGCAGTTCCGGCAAGGATAATAGATTCAATGGGGCAGTCCGGGCAGGGAAAGTATGGGTGCATTCAGTGGGGGCAGTCCAGACAGGGCAATATATGGATTCAAGGTGGGAAGTTCAGGCAGGAGAATATAAGCACTCACGGTTTAGGCAGGGGTAACTTCTCAGAGGCACACAGCAGTCAGGAGACAGGGACCCGTGCAGCACTCAGCTTTCCAGGGACACAGCGGTCAGCAGGCAGGAACAGCTTTCCAGGGACAAACAGCAGCCAGCAGACAGGAGCAGCTTTCCAGGGACAAAGCGGTCAGCAGACAGGGACCCTCACGGTGCTCAGCTTTCCAGGGACAACCAGCGGTCAGCAGACAGGAACAGCTTTCCCGGGACAAAGCGGTCAGCAGACAGGGATCGCTTTTCAGGGATGAACAGCGATCAGCGGACACTCAGCGGGGTCTGGGCTGTGGGGTCTGGCCTCAGCTCAAACCTCCAAACAGCTGCCAGCAGACAGGAACAGCTTTCCAGGGACAAAGCAGTCAGCAGACAGGGACAGCTTTCCAGGGACAAACAGCGGCCAGCGGACAGGAACAGCTTTCCAGGGACAAAGCAGTCAGCAGACAGGGATCGCTTTCCAGGGATGAACAGCGATCAGCAGACACTCAGCGGGGTCTGGGCTGTGGGATCTGGTCTCAGCTTAGTCCTCCAAACAGCGGCCAGCGGACAGGAACAGCTTTCCAGGGACAAAGCGGTCAGCAGACAGGGACCCTCACGGGGCTCGGCTTTCCAGGGACAACCAGCGATCAGCAGACAGGGACTCTCATGGTACTCAGCTTTCCAGGGACAACAGCGGTCAGCAGACAGGAACAGCTTTCCAGGGACAACCAGCAACCAGCAGACAGGGGCCCTCACGGTACTCAGCTTTCCAGGAACACAGCGGTCAGTGGACACTCAGCAGGGTCTGGGCTGTGGGGTCTGGCCTCAGCTCAGACCTCACACAGCTGTTCTCTTTCAGAGCAGGGGACCAACAGGATGGCAGGGACTCGGCAGGGTCTTGGCTGTGGGGTCTGGCCTCAGCTCAGACTTCACACAGCACCCTGTCCCGAGCGGGGGACGAACTGCCTACCCGGGTCCTGCTCCGGTCTTTTATCGCCAGAGCAGGACGCTTCCAGATTGCCCCGGCAACGGCCAGCCCAGCGTCGGGTTTCTGGGGCAGCATTTAGGAACCGGTACTACAGAGCCTGCACAATGATCCACCAACCCAGCAGTCCTTTTCACCATACTCCCAGGGACATGTCCACAGTTGCCAATGGATACAGGAAATACACTTCATTCTGTAACTATGTGCTTGCTTTCACTTTCTCGGGGGGTCCCCCTCTACACCTTTCATCAGTGACTTCCCAGGCAGGATCCCTAGGTACTCTGTGCTGCAGGTCCGGTCCCGATATTTGGGGAGCCGCTGCTAGTGAAGGGGACAAGCATAACACCCCTTTCACTACCAAAGTAGCCATCACCCTATGGCAAGTTACCCATTTACTGGCTGGTTGACTGCATAAGCAACAATACATGTACAATTGTCTCTAGTAACAGCAATATAACCAGCTCTAGACAACAAACTACATGCTGGACTGAAATTTACCGCATCTCCTCTAACAGTTCTCTAGTTACATGTTCCGTTCTTTGGATACGCCTTGTAGTGCACCACCTTAGAGAGAAACTTCAGACCAGGCATCAAACAGTTAACGTAAACTTTACTAAAGTAAGGCAAACATACAGTTCTTGTAAGACAACTTCTCTTATACAGTCCTGTACAGATTTGCTCTGTTCCCATTGGGTAGTCATACCTGAATAGCAACTAAGAGTCCTTAGCCTGGGTCCACACTAATGCGGTGCAAGGCATACATTTTTATGGCTCAAATTGCACCATATCTGCACCAAAAAGGTGCAAGACCCTTTTTTGTACCCACACCTGAATCACATTGCATGGGTGTTCTGGCATCTGGTATCTGGTATTTCTGGCAATCACATCGTGTTTTGCAATCTGTTTCGGGGTGTCAGTAATTTATCATTGACACCCGCACAAGATTGCATGAACTCCATGCGACTGCAGTGTGGTGTAGGAAACACATAAGTTTCCCGCACCGCATTAGTGTGAACCTGGGCTTAGAGTTTATTAAATGCAGAGTCCATAAAGGCAAGTAATCAAAAGGAGGCAGTAAAAGAATCCATGAAGGTCCATAATTGGCAGTGATCCCTAAAAGGCAATTAATCCATCTTAGGTGCCTATAAGGTCAGCAGGTCCCTAGGTTACCATCCCTCAGGGAACCCTGGCTGGCCCCAGGCTTGGGCTTAGCCCTGCAGCATAACAGCCTACATTTTGACAGAATTACTCCAAGAGGGTTCTCTCTGGGGCACAGAAGAGCCTCTATTTATATGAGATGACCTGTAGGGGGCGGTGGGTCTCAGGATTTTGTGGAGAAAACATGGCCACTTCCTTTTAGACCCATCCAAATAGCAGGTCATTCTGAGGACACAGAGTATACAGCATTGTAAGGGCTCCTTCACACTTGGCTGTTTTACCAACGCTTGCCAAACGCCCCTATAGCGTTTGGCAAGCGTTGGTCCGGGGTTTGCGGAGTGTTTTTTAACGCTCTGCAAACACTCCGCGAACACCGCATGCGCGGTTTAGTGGCGGTTGCTAGGCGTTTGCTGATCATTAAAAACGCCCCACAAACGCCTATAATGCAGTTTGAATGGTGTTACCGCGCCGCAAACACCCCGCAACCGCGTCGCAACCGCACTGCAAATGCTGGCCGGGCGTTTGCAGAGCGGCACCATAGACTAGAATAGGAGGCTTCAACGCCTCCTGACTTGACCAGAGGCGTCCGTTTTGCCGCGACGCGACGCAAACGCTCCCGTTAGAACAACACCATGTGCTGTAATGTGCAAAATTGGCAGAGGCGTTTGGGAAGCGGTAAAAAAACGCTTCCCAAACACCTCTCTGCCGCCTGCACACAACGCTAGTGTGAATGTAGCCTAACAGTTTCACAGAAAAGGCTGCAAACTTGACCCAGATAACTGAGAAACTTGAGTCACCATAGAAAAAACATTAACCCCTTGAAAGCAACTGCGTAAAAACTGACAAATATTTTTTTCTGTGCAAAAAATACATTTTTAGCGTGATAAATGTAATTTTCAAGGGTGATAATTATGTGCCAAAATACAAATACTAAAAAATCTGTTTGCCAAGAATGTATCTTTAGTGCTAAACAATGCCAATCAAAAGAAGAGTAAAGAACACCGCCACTGCAGCCCTTAAATACTCTTCAATATTCCCATTTTTGTGGCAGATGTCTGATCTTTAGACTGACCCCTATCTACCTCTATGGTAAATGTAGTTTGTATGCATTAGCAGCACAAGTCAATGCACTTCACAGACTCAAGGACACATCTCTTTTCAGTTTGTTTTCATCCAATATACGCACATTCCTCTGAAGAAACAGAAAAAATGTAACACCCCTTGGAATGACAAAGCTGAATTCAGGCATTCCTTGCAACATGGAATAGCAGTAATATTATTATCTTGTCTCCTAGACATAGGACTTTT